GGGACCAACACAGCTACAACAATACTGCAAATGAATTATTGGTGCTCACTTAAAACAGCCTGCCAAAGTTCTTGTTTTATCTAAATAGCTTTCACTTTTTGTAACTTGGGTATGTGAAAGAAAGAGAAGTAAACTTACCTAGAAGAGAAAAGTTTACTCCGACTATACAATTAAAAAGAAAAGAACACATTTAATTATTCATTTACTTATCTTAATAGTACATCAGTGTTTTTGTATTTGAATATATTTCTATTAAAATAAATGACTGTCTCATGCTACAATATTTATTTTGTGCTTTTCTTTGTGACTTCATCCATATGCTCATTACTATTTAGAGAGAAATGTGTAAATTCCCTTTAATGTCAATTAAAGAGTTCAGTATCAGAATGAACTGTTTATCTGTGCAGTTACATGATTCCATCATTTTCAGTACTTGTAAGCTACCTCTGGCTTTTAATAAATCGTTACTGCATATTTTGGAAAATAGCTCGCCAAAGATGACAGCACTATTAGATACATCCCGCACACCCTTCCACAAAGCCACCAAGGTTTGGGGAAGTAGAGATCAGGATGGGATAATTCATAAGGTCCTTATGTACAGGAACATCTAAGACTTCCCACAAGAAAACTGAAGAAAGGGATCCTGTATTTATATATGACTGCTGAATTCTCTCTTTAGTGCCAATATTGGGTCAAGTCTTGAAGCACTAGTTACCTTAGTACTGCACCTGCTGTAGGCAAAGGTGGGGCATTAAATACAATCATTAGGGCTTCAGAAAAGACCCTACAGAATAGCAGCATAAGAATTTCCCATCATTTGGGCATTACCTGTTAAAGTACTAATTAAAGAATATGAAAGGAGGAAAAGATGCAGTAAAAATGCTTAAGTGGATTCAAAATATGCTATCCCTTGAGCCCAGACAACTGTTCAGGTTATTCCAACAGTCTAGCCTAGCTAAACCAATGGGGATGTTGCTCCACAATCTGAAATATCCCAGAAAGTAAAAGCAGCTTAGTTAAGCATTTATTTTAATAGACTCAAACTTGGGCAATAACAGTACCCAACTTCACATCAAATATGAAAATTCAGATGGATTATTATTTTTGTTTATAATTTTATAGCTAAGGCCCTACTTGAATCGTGGGATGATTGTCCAAGAATTGCAGCTGAGTTTGCAGACAAGCCATGGAAAATCATGGAAAAGTAATAATGGACCTTATTATTTGCAATAATAAAGTCCATTATTACTTTTCTACAGTTTTCCACTGTCGACCACCCAGGGACTGAGAGTGGGGGGCTCACTGTCAGAATTGCAATGGAAGCCTAATATTGCAGAATCTGCAATATTGTGAATTAAGTAAGGCCTTATTTACAGCCTCTTTTGATGGCATGCAATACAATAGAACTTTCAGGTAGCTCCTTATCCTGTTCATCCTCTTAAAGAAAATCAGCATAAGCAAAACAGAACAAAAAGCTGTTTAACAAAATCTGGCCTGTGCTCTTCCTCTGTCTGCTCCTAATTTCCACACAAAACCATCAGGCAGCAAAGCCAAGTGTGCATGAGAATTTCTGGCATGTTTCCCTCAGCTGCTGTCTTTCTGGAAAGTTCCTTTCCCCAGTCATCTGTCTTCCCCCACAGGCAATGGCCACAGTTCCTTTTGTTTGTTTGTTTTCATTGTTTTTGTTCTGATTTGTGATTGTCAAAAAATTAGACTCAAAGCCCCTGAAGTGCCAGGACTGTAATACACAGACTGTTCTGGGAATGGCTGTGAAGTAGGGTGGCCAGATGTCCCAATTTTATAGGGACAGTCCTGATATTTGGGGCGGTGTCTTATATAGGCTCCTATTACCCTCCCACCCCCATCCCAATTTTTCACACTTGCTGTCTAGTCACCCTACTGTGAAGAAACTGGGACCAATTAGCAAGGCAAGCCTAAGCCACCTTGCCCCTAACCAGGGATAGAGGAGAAGCCCCAGATAGACAGCATCTTGTCAGACGTATGCATCTGCAGAAAGCCGCATATAATCCTTGTTGCCCCCAAAATCAAGCCAAACTGGGCAGGGAAGTAAGAGCCTGGCAGTGGCACCTGATGTATCAAAAAAGCAGTTTATTTCTCTCCTACTCCTACCTTTCTCACCCCTGACGTTCCTGAGCCCCAAAAAGCAGCCTGAGAATTCTAACGTGGGGGATATTCTTGCCTTTTGTAGCTTCTTGGAGGGGGGGAATAATTTCTATCTCATATCCAGCCACAGAAAGTAAACAACTTGCATAGATGCTAAGTTCTGTGCTGCTTCATGTATGTTGTCTCTCACCAGTGACAAGCCACTGATTCTTCCTATAGGGTTCCCCAAGGAGTGGGAGCAGGTGTTTGGGGAAGGTAGAAGTTCATTCTCTGCACCCCTCAGAAGTGGGAAGGTTTGTGGGGGAAGGCAAGCGAGCTGCAACTTGAAGAGGGGAGGGTGGTATTGCTGGGCAGACGGGAATTGGGAGGGACTCCTGAGAGGAAGCCTGGGGTTGTCATACAAGGTGGATGGCGGTATTTAGAGTTTCGTGGAGGAATTTGGGGAGCCTCTCCCCTTCTGCATATGATCTTAATAGCCTCCATATTGGCCATCTGCCCCTATCCTATTCAGCCACTCTCCCATCCACATCAGCCTCTGATACCATCCTGTCCACCTTCTACTGAGAAGAGCGCACTGAAGCATCCATCACCTCCTTGCTGTCAAGGAGTCCATGAAGGTTGTGAGTTGCCACGGAGACGAGAAAGCAGCCAGATAGGCCTGCAGTGGTCAGGAGTAATGGTAAAGAAAACCCTATTTAGTCCCTACTGGATGCATGAGATGGGGCCTGCAGACAGGAATGTCATTCCCAGTGCTTGACACTTGGCAGGTCTGCAACTGCTAGTGACCAGGCAAATACTCCTAAAGGATGAGCTAGAAAGACTGCATCCTTCCTATTCACTCGGGCTAGGTCTACACTACAGCGGGGTTCCGACCTAAGATACGCAACTTCAGCTACGTGAATACCGTAGCTGAAGTTGCGTATTTTAGGTCGGCTTACCTGGCGGTGAGGACGGGGGAAAGTCAACCGCTGCCGCCGACTCCGCTGCCGCCTCTTGCCGAGGTGGATTTCCGGAGTCGACGGCAGAGCGATCAGGGATCGATTTTACCGCGTCCTCACGAGACGCGGTAAGTCGATCCCCGATAGACCGATTGCTACCCGCCGGATCGGCAGGTAGTGAAGACATACCCTCAGACATGAAATCCCTGGTATTGTACCTAGAGGGAAAGCTCATGATTGTAATTCTCTGTTTTGGTAAGAACGAACTATATTTTCCCCTGTCCATGTCAGGAGTGATTCACACTGACAGGAGAGTGTAGGGAAGCTTCTACTTCCACTTCCTGTGCTGGATTTGTCTTGAGGTTAAATGGAGGATTTGGACAGAACTTCAACTATTTGCCATATTTCAAATAGTCTTTAAAAACAAAATCAAATAACACTTATGTATTTTTGCCTTTTTTTTTAAATGTCTAAGATTCTCAGGTGGTGCAGTGGGTGAATGCACTTGTCTTCTATCTCTGTAAGATAAGGATTGAAATTCTGCTCAGGTCTCATCAAAGCTCTATTTACTAACTTAGTTTTGCCAAATGAAAAGAGTCGTTTTTAGAGGCCACCAGTCATGTTGGAGCCCTCAATGGAATAGCAGGGATGTTACATATCAGGATTGATGAGTCTTGCACAAACTGTGTGGGGAAGCTTGTACAATTCCTCCTTGTGTTATGCCTAACTTAAGCTAGTTGGCTTTAGCTCTTCACTTTTAGGCACAGTAAATGAACTAATTTAAATAAAATCCTTTCCATTACTGCTGTCCTAACAGTTAGTCTAGTCATCTTTCTCCTTAGTGTCAAGTCTGTGTACCCTTGCATGGTTGAGATGCAGCTTATCTATTTCATTTTGCTTTTCTATGAAAATGAACTTAGTTGTCAATTTTTTTTTCCACCCAGCATGTTGCATTGTGGCTATCACAAGAGCTGTACTAAACACGGAAAGTACTAAACATGGTTAGACTTTTTTTTTTAAAAAAAGGGAAGAAAGTTTGTTTAATTTTTCACCACATACAGACATTTTTAACCAAGTTTTTGATAGTGATTCATGTTTGTGCCACTTCAACTCAATGTTTACTGTGGCAGAGCTCTGACCTTGTCCCTCTGGGTCCCGCACTTCTACGCGGTATATGCTAGCCTCAGTGGTTCACTACGACCCTCCACGTAGCCCTTCTCTCTCTCTAGGGCCAGGGTTACAGTCTACTGAGCCCTTTTCATCATAAGCCAGCAAGGAGGTTGGTGAGAGAACTCCCAGTCTCTGTTGTCCCTAGGGGCTTGTTTCAGAACAGTTTAGCCTCCTGACCTGACAGGGGCCTGACTTCCCCTTCTAGGAGATGTTCCTGTAGCGGTGGGTTGGGGGGGAACCCGGCCCCGCCCTCTACTCCGGGTTCCCGCCCAGGGATCCTAATGGTAGCAGCTGTTGGCAGCCAACCTTTCACTGCCAGAGTTGCTACATTTCCCTGGGCCACTTCCCCACAGCTCTCCTACTTCTCCCTTACCAATTACTTGAGCATGTCTTCATGTAACCAGCCCTTCAGCTGCACTTCCCCTCCTCTGCCTGACTGGAGTGAGTCCTTTTATAGTATCAGAGAGGCCTTAATTAGAGTCAGGTGGTCACATTAGCTTAATGGCCTCACCTGACTCTTTGCAGGTTAATTGGAGTCAGATGTTCTCATTAGCCTGGAGCAGCCCCTGCTCTGGTCAGTCAGGGAACAGAAAATTGTTAATCCAGTAGCCAGTATATCTGCCTTCTGCTACACCCAACTGACCTGGATCTATCACATTACTCAAATTTGTCCAGTGGTCTTTTGTGGTTTTGACTGCATATATTGTTTTTTAGATGTTTGTTTATAATGGCTGTCTTTCTTCTCCTCCCCTCCCCTCCTTTTTGCAGAGAGGTTGTGCAGGCAAACTCTGTTCACTGGAAAAAGAAGTTCTTATTTATGTGTAAAATGAGTGCCAGTGCCACTACAGGCATTCTGGATCCTTGCATCTGCAGAGTATCTGTACGGAAGGTAAAAACAGCATTTTTCCTCTTCTAGACCATAATTTTTTTTTCCACTGTAGCTCTGATCATTTACTACTGTCCTCTCTATTTTTATAGAGCTAACAAACATTATAAAATGAATTGTAGCTGTAGCCATGTAAAATACTCATTATTAGTCAACATAATTTTGTCATCTGATCATTTGCTTACTTAACTCTAATTCACATACAGTAACTCCTCACTTAAAGTAGTCTGTTAACGTTGTTACGTTGCTGATAAATTAGAGAACATACTCATTTAAAGTTGTGCAAGGCTCCCTTATAACGTCGTTTGGCAGCCGCCTGCTTTGTCCACTGCTTGTAGGAAGAACAGCCCGTTGCAGCTAGCTGGTGGGGGCTTGGAACCAGGGTGGACCGGCAGCCCCCCGCTCCCCTAAGTTCCCTGTGCGGCAGCCGCCCAGCGGGCTATCAATTGCCGGCAGTTCAGCTGTCCCTCCCCGCACTGCCATGTGCTGCTTCTGCCCTCTGCCTTGGAGCTGCTCCCCAGAGCCTCCTGCTTGCTGTGTGGGAGAGGTGGGGGGAAGAGGGGAGCTAATGTCAGGGTGTCCCCCTTCCCCCTTTCCCCCTTCTCCTGCACCCCGCTTACCCCATCTTCCATAGAGCAGGGGAGGACACACGACAGGCCTCAGGATGGAGGGAGCTTCCTGGCTGAAGCTGCCGTCTCAGCTTGCTGATCAACTTAAAAAGGTAGTGTACTTAGAGTGCGGTCAGCGTATTTAAAGGAGCAATGCGCATTTCTCTCACACACACCCACGATGTGTCTCTCTGTCTGCCATGCTGTCTTCCCTCCCTCCATTCGTGCTGGCTTGTAGAGTGCGAGGCTACATTAACAATGAGTAACCCTTGAGGGCTCAGCCAATTGATAGTTCATCATTTAGTGGTAAGGCATTCCCTGGGAAATATCCCACCCTCTGACTTCACCACCTCAGCCAAGCTTCACAATCATCATCGCTGTGTACCAGTATTAAGTTGTCTGTTTAAAACTTATTTTGTGTGTGTGTGTATAATATAAAAATGTCTTTTGTCTGGTGAAAAATTTCATAATTTATGTTGTAACATAACCAAGGTAGGTCAGTGCAGTTTCAGCATACTTACAGAAGGATAAAACTCTCAAGTTATAAAACTTGCCTTCAATTATATTAAGGTACTAAATGTAGCAGAAATTTTTAAGAGCCTGCAGATTGAATGTGTTCAGTTGTTCCTTTGTCAGTTGTAACAAGGTGACTGCATCTCTCTACTCTGCCACAAACAGATCTTCTCTATTGCTGTGGGAATTCAGAGTCTTTTGAAAAGATTAGAATGAGGAAACAGTAATGCCTTCACTTTTCAACAAGAACTCAAGGACGAGTAGCAGAAATATATTTAAACTGCTTATTCTTTCATCCAGTAACAGCTGGCTTCACTTTCTTCCTGGGAAAAGCCCAACTCTTCCTGGTCAGTGACTGATGCAGTGCATAAAAGTCAAGAGCAAGAAGCAGCAAGCTTAGGGTATGTCTACATTGGAGCTGGGAAATTGCCTCTCAGCTGGAGTAGACAGACTTGTGTTAGGAGGGCTCAAGGTACTGTGCTAAAAATAGCTGTGTGGACGTTGTGGCTCCAGTTAAGACACAGGCTAGCTTCCTGAGCTCAAGCCCAGTGGCTCAGGTGGGCTTGAGCGTGGGTGATTAGCCTGAGTCTCTGCCAGAATCACAGCGTCCACACAGCCATTTTTAGCATGCTAGCTCAAGTCCCACTACCACAAGTCTGTCTACCTGAGCTGGGAAACTCATTCACAGCTGTAGTGTAGACATACCGTTAGAGGCCCTGAACTTGTGCCATGTACTGGCTTGATTTTCCTGATCTCCAGAGGTGCATCTCCTGCACGCCTTACCCCTAGCAGCAGAAACAAACTGGTGCTGTAGCACTGAACAGCTGTCCGTCTATCCTGAAGTGACTTTGTGAAGGCAGCAGGGATTTTTTTTGTTTGTTTTGGGAACCTTCCAACTGCATGCATTAGAAAATAAATTGGAGTACTTTTGCATTTTTATTTAATTACCAGCTGGTTCCTCAACATTCAGGGGTAGGTGTTTTAAATTTATTTTTTGCAAAAATGCTTATTTCACAAACCAGGGTATGTAATTGGTCGGCCCCACAGTGATGGGGGTTATGCACACCCCTTCACCACTTGGATGGGGAGAAGTTAGGCTTCTGCAGTTTACTTCTCCCCTCCCCTCCTGGTGATCTTTCTTGGCTTCCTGATGGGGTCCCTGGGTAGGCCTGAGAAGAAGCTGGGAGAAGCACACAAGGTCTCTTCCTGTTACAATTAGCAATATAATAGACTAATACTATGGCAATATTATGTTCAGATATCTCTTAAAATATGTGTACATGTTGGGTTCCTTCAAAAAGGCAATATTTTAAATTTTTATGACTTGTTTAGTTACTAGTGTATGTTTCTTTTTGCAGGAGTTAAAAGGTGGAAAGGCATACGCAAAGGTAAATAGACATGATCTGTTCTATAAACTGATACTTCCTTCTTGCTCTCTTATGCTCTTTACTTATTTTAGCTTAATAATAGGCTAGAATACCTATCATTCTGATACCCAAAATGATCTTCCAGCTCATCTATTTTGTAGAAGTACTGATATTTGAGAGGTAGCTTGGACATACTTAAATCTCCCCCCACCTCTCTTGGAGTTCGCTTTTCTTTGCCTCTCAAGAATGATGGAAGTCTTTACTTCTATATTTTTTGTGTATATGGGATTTTCAATATTTAAAAAGCCTTCCTAGGGTTTTTTAGGTGTAAGTTGAAACTAAGAGTACAGCTGAGCAGCATTTGGCATTTAATCATATTAAACAGTATCAATTCTAACAATATTTACGAGGTTTTGTAGACCCGTTTTTTTCTTTTTTTCTAATGTAACTACTTCCTTCTTTTTTTTTTGAGTCCATCCCTTCTGCATGAAGCAGTCATTCTAATTCAAGTGTGATTAAAGGCTAATAATGAATACTAATTATTGTGCATACAGTAAGTGTCCCTGGATTATACTACGATATCTAACTCTTCATTCTCTCTTAATAGCTGGGCTTTGCAGACCTAAACCTTGCAGAGTTTGCTGGATCGGGAAATACCACTCGTCGCTGTTTATTGGAAGGTTATGATACCAAAAATACCAGACAGGATAATTCCATTCTCAAAGTAATTCATGTTTTTTTCCCATCATATTATCTGGGGTAAAAGTGCATTTCTATTAACTGCATAAGGGAAAAACAGGAACTAATATGTTGTGGAACTGAAAACCACAAACATGACAGCCAAGCATTTAACAAGGTTTAAAATATATTTGCTGTTGCTGAACATCCTCTCTGTCAATAATCACTCTTACTACAGGAAGACTGGACATGTAAGTAATATAATGTAGTGAAAATCTCAGCCTTATTTTTGAGAACCAAGTGAAATCCATACAAGCAACAAATTGGTGGATTATTTTTGCCGGTTTTGGAACTCTGATTAGTGAGCTATATTGGAGAACCATTTTTAAGTATTAAATTAATTTTAGTTTTGTATTCCAATAGGAATTGGCAATGCAAAGTAAATTCAATATAAGAAGACAATCGGAGTCTAGTGTAGACATAGTTTATATAAATTCTGTAACAGTTATATGTTCTTGTAACTATGCAGTTAGTTCTTTTCAGGGTAGTTTTTCTTTAGTTGGCTTGCCTAATTCTGTAAAGAACAAGCCAGCTTTAACATTCAGTCATGGATTGTGATGGGAGATGGAAATCCCCTTCCACTCACTCTCTAACCAGTGCCAAAGAATTTGTGGAAATATTTGAAATCTTGAACCCCTGAGAGTGATCTAGAACCACCATCCTTTTCTGTTCTAATCCATTTGGATCAGTAGAATTTGGGACAGATTTGTGTAATTTGATTAAATTGTGATGTTGGGGCACTGGGATTGATCAGTCACAAGGTAACTATACAGTTTAGGTCTTCAGTTTCTGCTTGTTTGGGGCAGTCCTAGGCTCCTCCAGAACATGTTTCTTTATTCCAGAAAACATTCATGAAAACGCTGCTGGTGGTGTCAACTTTTTGGTCAAATGAGTCCTGACTTGCCGTGTTTATGGATGTTTGATGACATTATTTGCCTTTATGGTTGCCTTCACCTGTGACCTTCCCAATGATGGTAGCACAACCAGTTTTTGTCTCTTGACAATTTAATAAGAAACTCTTAATAAATGATGATTCGGAGTAATGTGCCTGCTGCTGGTGTATGTGCAAATGGAATTCCTTGTACATTCACATTGTTGATCTAGGGGGACAGATGAGATCTCCTACAGTCCTTCTCTCTCTTGAACCCCCTACTGTTGATACTTATTTTTATTGTATTGTCTTGTGTCCTTTTATAGAATCCTAAGGTAGAAATGAGATAATGTAACTGATTTCAAACACTAGTTTGTAGCTTTTGGTTTGTTTAAAAGACTGCCATATAAGATTTATAGCAGTTTAACTCTCTTCTGTACCAGTATTATTTTGGACACAATTAGTTTTCTTTACAGAAGCATGTGGCCATCCTGTGTGTGTGTGTGTGTGTGTATACACACATATATTTTCAATTTAAATGCAAATTTGGTAATGAGTATTACTTATTGACACACCATATAACATCACAGATCAATTCCTTTGCTGCCTTATGGTGTTTTCTTTGTTTTGCTTATGTGTGTTGTTTTTCCTGATTTGTAGGTATTGATCAGCATGCAGCTAATGTCTGGAGACCCATGTTTTAAAACGTAAGTTTATGAACGCTATGGAGTCTGGAATTTCAGTTGTAATTTAGTGGCTCAACTCTTGTTTAAAGTTGTACGTGTCCAAATCTTTATCTTCAAAGTGACAATATTAAAGAAACATGAAAAATTTAAATGGTAGCTGAATACTGACTAACAGAATATAAATACTGGTAGTTGAGTGGCAGTTTTTTTCATTGCCTTGAAATACTTTATATTCTCTACTTGAATATATATCAAATTTTAAACTATAAAGGCTATAGAAATTCAGAAAAACACTTGGGGCAAATACTGTTCCCTGCACAAAGCCTTTGTAAACTTGGTTGGTGGAGAGGAACTCTATTGATGCCTACGTTTTTAGAAAAGCTATTACATCTTTCAGTAACTAAACCTCATAGGTTTATAAATGACTTCTTTAAAATTCAAAAGTCTGTGTGATCTGATTTCATATAAAAAAGATTTGTTACCAAGGCCATTGTGTAAGATAGCAAAAAATGTCATGCTTTCTTTGGGAAGGGAGGTGGTAGTGAGGAAAATACGCTGCTTTGTAACAAGGATCTGTGTTTGATTTGTAGCTAAGGGAATACAATAGCTCTACTTCATTGTGTGTTTACTTCTGCAGCTAACCACATAGCAGAAAATCATGTGCTGCACCTTAGGGAAAAATGTAGTTGTGAGTACGATAAATTTTGCCTTCTTTCCTTTTTATTCTGAGTCATACAAGCTTGGCGGGTGGCCTAATTGTAACAGTGCAATTGGGAAAATTCCTATTTCCAGCAAAGCCACAGTTTGCTAAACACAATTTAGATAACCTGGTCAGCAGGAATGGAGATACTATTCAGCGTTTACCACCATAAATCATATTTGTAGGACTCTGAAGGTTAGTTTTTTATTTTTAAAATGTGCTTTTTTGAGACCACTTTCATTAACATTAAATGGAAAAGCTTTTAAATATTAGACGCATCATTGTAAGACCTACCACTATTACCAGAACAGTACAAAACCTAATGCTACTTTTCTGGCTTGTAAAGATGTACAAAGCGCTTTCAATCTCTTAAAAATGACAAGCTATCTTCAATTCTAGTTCCAAATGGCTTTTTGAAATTTGTGGCAAGATTTTCTAGTTGCACTTAAAAGCTATTAATAAAGCTACGTTTTAGTCATGGGTATTTTTAGTAAAAGTCATGGACAGGTCACAGGCAATAAACGAAAAGTCATGGCCCCATGACCTGTCCATGACTTTTACTAAAAATACCTGTGACTAAATCTTACCCCCCAGAAAGGGGGTGCTCCTGAAGACTGCTGCTTGGGGTGGGGCAATGCTTCTGCTGGAGGGGCGGGCGACCCAGGGGCCCCCCTGCCGCTGGTCTGGGTGGGGAGCAGCCTGGGGCAGCGCCAGGGCAGTGGCTGGTGCGGCTGGCCCCGGGGCTTCCCAGCTGCTGCGGAGGTCCTGGGGTCAGCCGCACCAGAGCTGCAAAATTCACAGAGCTTACAGAAAGTCACGGAAGCCGTGACTTCCGTGACCTCCATGAATGATTCATAGCCTTAGCTATTAAACACTTTTGTCTTATTCAACCAGATCTGTCCGGCTTATGTTTAAACCATTCAAGTAATTTGAACTTTATTTGTACTGAGGTTTTTATTCAATCCAGGCTGCTGTTCAAATGAAATTACACCCTGTAAATGCAAGTTCTAGATATGACTTTTTTAGTTTAAATTTAACATGGTTTTGGGAAATTAATGTTTGATTACATGTATATCTCTCAGAATATTTTGTCAAAAAGTGGAAGTAACTGCAAATCAAAAGGAGTTACATGTTTAAAATCATGACCCTTGAGCCAGTTTAGCAATGTCCAAAATAAAGAGCTGCTGTTTAGGTATAGGCAGGAGAAACATTAATCCTTCAAAGTTCATATTAAGAAGTATCTCTCCTTCCCTCCCCTAATGGTATGCTGTCTGCTGCTTTCTTTTAACACTCAATGCAAAATTATACACTTGCCTTCATTTTAAAAAAACAGTATTTTGAACTGGTAAGACTTTTGGATGTCATGTTGTGACAATGCGGTTCTGGCGGAACCCAACTGAGAGTGCCAACTCAGGATAAATTGCTCAAACAGGGCAGTTACAGCCCAAGGCTGGGGTTTTTCCCACCTCTAAGGCAAACCAAACCAGCCAGACTAAGAGGACTTTGGTCTCACCCCACTGGCTAACCGCGAGTCTCACAAGCAATCTTCTTAGACACTCCAGTTTCCCAGGATCACCACCAGTGCCACTCGTTATGGGGACAAATGGTTATGAAAACCAAGACCCCAGTAAAAGAAAAAGGTTCTCCTGATCCCAAAGGACCAAGCCCCAGACCCAGGTCAATATACAAATCAGATCTTACCCACAAATCACGCTGTTGCCAATCCTTTAGAATCTAAAATCTAAAGGTTTATTCATAAAAGGAAAAAGATAGAGATGAGAGCTAGAATTGGTTAAATGGAATCAATTACATACAGTAATGGCAAAGTTCTTGGTTCAGGCTTGCAGCAGCGATAGAATAAACTGCAGGTTCAAATCAAGTCTCTGGGATGGGTCCTCAGTCCTTCGTTCAAAGCTTCAGCTTGTAGCAAAGTTCCTCCAGAGGTATGAAGCAGGATTGAAGACAAGATGGAGATGAGGAATCAGCCTTATATAGTCTTTTCCAGGTGTAAGAACACCTCTTTGTTCTTACTGTGGAAAATTACAGCAAAATGGAGTCTGGAGTCACATGGGCAAGTTCCTGCATACTTTGCTGAGTCTCAAGGCATATTTGCCTTCTCTCAATGGGTCCATTGTATAGCTGATGGTCCTTAATGGGCCATCAAGCAGGCTAGGCAGAGCTAACACCAGTTTGTCTGGGATGTCACCCAGCAGCATAGCATAAGTTTGAAATACAGACAGTATAGAGCCAATATTCATAACTTCAACTACAAAATTGATACACACATATAGACAGCCTAATCATAACCAGTAAACCATAACCTTGTCTTAGACACCCCATTTGACCCCCTTTATACAAGATTTGCGTGCCACTACAGGACCATGGTTGCAACAATGATCTATATGGTCCCAGATTATATCAATAACGTCACACATGTACACATTTGTAACTTCAAATTAGATGAACTAGATGTTAGGATGATTTATAAATCCTCTCTGAACTGAACTGAACTGAAATCCTAAATTGCCAGTTTTAGGCTCAACCACTGTTTACATGCCAAGCTATAAGTCCAGGATAATGGGCACTTTATAATTAATGGCGGAAGAGAAAGACAGATAGTCTTAACTAAACTAGTTAAGGATGGGGTGTGGTTCTGTTACATGATATGTTTCTATTAACAGTATATTGTGCTGAGCACAAACTCAAAATATTGTATGGAATTCTTCAGTTTATAGTGTTAGCTACTATTCTTTTAGTCCTTTCAAACAATATCCAATGGGACAAGATAGAAAAACCTTAGGTGACACTCAAAGATTAAAAACTAGTCTAGAATAAAGAGGCGAATAATAGTAATCTGAAAAATCTGATGTCTACCTTCTTATTCTGTCAGTGTGTCTCAGATGTCTTCTCCTTGAAGATTTCTAATTTTATTTTCCTACTTTCTGAGCCTTAATCTGGATCAAAGTCAGTCCCCTTGTGAATAAAGTAGGGCTGTCGATTAATCGCAATTAACTCACATGATTAACTCAAAAAAATTAACTGCAATTAAAAAAATTAATTGCGATTAATTGCACTGTTAAACAATAGAATACCAATTGAAATTTATTAAATATTTTTGGATGTTTTTCTACATTTTCAAATATATTGATTTCTATTACAACACAGAATACAAAGAGTACAGTGCTCACTTTATATTTTTATTACAAATATGTGCACTATAAAAATGATAAGAAATAGTATTTTTTCAATTCACCTCATACAAGTACTGTAGAGCAATCTCTTTATCATGAAAGTGTAACTTACAAATGTAGATTTGTTGTTACATAACTGCACTCAAAAACAAAACAATTTAAAACTTTAGCACCTACAAGTCCACTCAGTCCTACTTCTTGTTTGTTTACATTTACAGGAGATACTGCTGACTGCTTCTTATTTACAATGTCACCTGAAAGTGAGAACAGGCATTCGCGTGGCACTTTTGTAGCCAGCGTTGCAAGGTATTTACGTGCCAGATATGCTAAACATTCATGCTTCGGCCACCATTCTAGAGGACATGCTTCCATGTGACGATGCTCGTTTAAAAAAAAAAAAAAAAAAAGTGTTAATTAAATTTGTGACACAATTCTCTCCCAAGGAGTTTGTCTCCTGTTCTGTTTCACCCACATTCTGCCATATATTTCATGTTATAGCAGTCTCGGATGATGACCCAGCACACGTTCATTTTAAGAACACTTTCACAGCAGATTTGACAAAACACAAAGAAGGTACCGATGTGAGATTTCTTAGGATAGATACAGCACTCAACCCAAGGTTTAAGAATCTGAAGTGCCTTCCAAAATCTGAGAGGAATGATGTGTGGAGCGTGCTTTCAGATGTCTTAAAAGAGCAACACTCTGATGCGGAAACTACGGAACCCGAACCACCAAAAAAGAAAATTAACCTTCTGCTGGTGGCATCTGACACAGATGATGAAAATGAACATGCGTTGGTTCACTCTGCTTTGGATCGTTATCGAGCAGAACCCATCATCAGCATGGACACGTCTTCTGGAATGGTGGTTTAGGCATGAAGGGGCATATGAATCTTTAGCGCATCTGGCACGTAAATATCTTGTGACGCCAGCTACAACAGTGCCATGTGAACGCCTCTTCTCACTTTCAGGTGACATTGTAAACAAGACGTGGACAGCATTATCTCCTGCAAATCATAACCAAACTTGTTTGTCTGAGCAATTGGCTAAAGTAGGACTGAGTGGACTTGTAGGTTCTAAAGTTTTACATTGTTTTATTTTTGAATGCAGTTATTTTTTGTACATAATTCTACATTTGTAAGTTCAACTTTCATGATAAAGAGATTGCACTACAGTACTTGTATAAGATGAATTGAAATATACTATTTCATTTGTTTTTTACAGTGCAAATATTTGTAATAAAGTGAACATTGTACACTTTTTATTCTGTGTTGTAATTGAAATCAATATATTTGAAAATGTAGAAAACATCCAAAAATATTTAAATAAATGATATTCTATTATTGTTTAACAGTGCGATTAATTGCGCAATTATTTTAGTCGCTTGACAGCCCTAGTTTATTTGTTGTGTAAAATATAAAACAAATTTAATAAAAAATTAAGTATTAAAATAAAATTATACTGGGAGATATTCTGGACTGGATTCTAAAAGATGCAGCACAGTATTCTCAGCCTAATGTGATGTGTGGAGCTGATGTGGCTTTAAGGCTACCATTTGCACCCTCCAGATTCTGGGTTGCTCCAAGGTTCAAAGCAGACTCTGATGTAATGTAGACAGCAGTAAGGGGCTGTTTAAGTTATGGCAACCAGAATCTTTGCAGGGTTACATGCTGTGGCCATATCCCCTACACTAAGGCTTGAGAGGGTGACCTCGGAGTATGGCCCGCCTGCAATCTTCCTTGGTTCCTACAGTGCGGGAGTTCTCCCCGGTCAGATCCAGGGCTATTAGATCCCTTGTACACTGCTCTGGCCCCTTTTTTAACCTGGTATAAATGGGCCTGAGTGGAAGGATGAGGATTTCACCCACTACATAGTGGACAGGAGATGAAAATGTATTATCTTAGTTTGTTTAGCAGGGCAGAGTTTGTTTTATCTCTGTTTATTGCACACTCCTATATTTACTTATTGCCACATTTCTACATATGTCACTGGCACTGATTGCATTAACCTGATAGTACTCAGAGCAGTGATTCCCAAAGGGCTACTAAATTCTAGCCAGTTTTCTAATAAAATAATTTATTCCTTTTCTCTCTACATATAAAGTTGAAATCAACATTTAAATTGAGTTTTTTCTGTTTTGCCATAAAAAGTGTATCTGAGATTTATGGATAACTTTGTCTCCAGAAAAAAATTTAATCGGGCTCTCTATAGTAGTCCTTTAACAGGGCTTTAAAGTCTCTTTCTGTTGTATAATTGATGTTAGGGGCTTGCAATAAAAGCAAAAAGAATCTCTTGGTTATGTGTTAAAACTTGTATTTTACTTCACAATGTATTTTACTTCACAAAATTATTCAGTCTTGATCATCTTCCAAACTGATGATATAATTCTTTCCTGGAATACTAAACTTTCAAATCAAACCCAGCAAATATTGTAGCTGATCCAGATGTGGGGTTTTGTTTAGTTTTGTTTTGATTAGCTGGCTGTTTTCTTAGAAAATGGAAACTTTTTCAAATTCTCTAATCAAATGAAAATCAGCTACAGCTACTGCCTGTCTAACTCGCTCTGGGTGTGGAACTGGAAGCATTTCAGAGAATGTTACCTTGGAGGTCCTGGACTTTAATCTTTTGCCTAGCAGCCTAAATTTGGCCTCCACGATCTCTCTCTCCTACTTTTTGTCATTTTTACCTACGTGTACCACCACCACTGGCTCCTCCCTAGCACTGCACGTAAGCTTATCTAGATGCCTCGAGAGGTCCGCAACCTTCACACCCATCAGGCAGCTCACCATGTAGTTCTTTCGGTCATCACAAACCCAACTATCTATATTGTATTGCTAATAATCAAATCCCCCATTACTATTACCTATCTCTTCCTAATAACTCGGGTCCCCTCCACCAGAGGGGTATCCTCAGTGTGAGAGGACAGCAGGACATCTGGAAAGAGGTTCCCAACTATGGGATAGTTTCCTTCTGCTCCTGCTTGATGTTCTCCTTCCCTGAGACTTTCCTCCGCCTCAACAGCACAGAGGCTCTCGGACTCCATGATTTTGTGGTAGATACTCTTCTGTAGCGAAACCAGTTTGTGTTCAATAAACTGTATCTCCTTGAGTATAGTTAAAATTGGCATGTTGGTTGAATATTTCGTATGGGATAGCTCAGTTATTACATTTTCATATTTTGAACTGTTTCTGGTTGTATGTATCTTTATGCCCATTACTTGTGGGGGAGAGGATGTGTGTAAGCAAACCTATTGCTTAGGTATGCATTTGACCTAAAAAAAAATCATAGAGAAGGATTAAGATTTAATAGGAAATATGCCTGCTACACCTTGTCATTGTCCATAGACCCCATGTACGTGGGTGAGGCCATTGAGGCAGTTGTTAAATTATTATTGCTGTGGCAGGCCATGAAAAGCATTTCCAGCTGGAAATAAACCAAACAACTCAACTCTGCTATTGTTTGATTAGCCAGCTATCATGTAATCATAAGCTTAGTACTGTGGTATTAAATGTCACTCATTCCACATTGGCTCTCTTGAAGTAAAACAAATTAATAATGTCTTGTAATAAAATACATGTATATTTTAAGTCAGAATTGGAGTCAAGTGTCTCGCTTTATATCCCTGCAAACAAATTTACATTCTAGTAATGTAAATGTTATGGAAAGGGGACACTGGACACTTGGTTATTCTTACTGAACCTGTGTGTTCTGCCAAGGATAGAAACATTTGTATACACTCAAAATGCCTATCCTGGGCTCGGAGTACTTTAATTAAAAACTAAATCCAAACCAAACACCTCCCCTTCCAATTAAAAAAAATAACCAACAATCAGTCAACAAGATGTATCTGTATCTTTCCATGGATCCTCCAAGAGTTTCAGTCCTCCCAGAAGGCTGAGAAAATGGATGAACTTTGCAAGGAACCCTGAATTTGAACAGTTTTGGACAAAGGGAACTGGGGGACTGTGTTCCTAAATTTATTGATACTACAATCTTATTAAGCCCCAGTGAAGTCCAATGTGAATTGAACCTATAACCCCCACCACCACCCAAATCACAATGATGCTTCCAAAAAGACACAAGCACAGATAAAAGCAAACCCTGATCTCTGTGCATTTGCTTACAGGCCTCCTTCCACAGGAATGTCCATCTCAATTGCTGGAGAATTGGAATCTTTACATGAAGACAGGAAAGGTGGAGAGAACTTGAAAGTGGTACGTCTGGGTGTATCAGGTATGAAATAATGCTATTGGTTTTATTATTGTTTGAGACCTAAGTAGCAGCAAATACATTCATGAAATATTTTGAATGTTAAACAGACATGGACATTTTATCCCAAATCCCCTTTCTACTCTGTTTGTTGAGCAATATTGCTCTTGGTACCACTATGTAAATGCAGAGTAATTCCTTTGATGTGCTGGATTTACACTCGTGTAATGGAGCAGTATTTCTATTAAAAGTGGGAAAGAAAGGGAAATCGGATCAATTGCCTGTGTCCCTTTTTAAAATTCAAAATATTTTATGAGCGTATTTTCTGCTACTTAAGCAAATCTCAATGGCATTGAGAATTTAAAAAGCAGAATCTGGCCCTTAATATTTAATTTATGAATGATCGTGCTTTCATGGGTGTATTGGCCCTTAAAATTAGCTAACTCTTTTGTGATTTGGTGTGTTATGGATAGATATTGAATAAGGTTTTTAATGGTACAAGTTTAAGAATCACTTAGCATTTGTCATACTGAAAGCTGACAAACTATAGAAATCAGTTCACTTACTATTAAAATGCTCAAGTATCAGAGGGGTAGCCGTGTTAGTCTGGATCTGTAAAAAATACCCAATTCGTCAGATGCATGTAGTGGAAATTTCCAGAGGCAGGTATAAATATGCAGGCAAGAATCAGTCTAGAGATAATGCTGAAACTCTAGGGTGAGCCTCAATATATTTTACTAGTGCACATCAATATTAGACAGAGATTAGGACAGGAAATGGTATTCTGTCAACTGAAACTACAGAGAATTTTATAAAAGTATCTGCTTGAAAAGTGGCCAGCACATCTGCATTGGCACTTTCCCCGGAAAAGCAGTGTTATCAGCTCTTCACTCAAGGCCCAGCTTCCTCTGGTCATTAATGTACTTCAGCCAAAAGCTGTCCAATTGTGTACCCTCTGATACGCTCTCCTTTGAATCAATAATTATTTATAGTCCAGGTGAGTGTCATGTACTTGAACGCTGACAACATTTCTTGCAGCACCTGGATTTTCCTTAGAGGTTTCTTATCTAACTAGTATCAAGTCCCATTCTGCTTATCTTGTGAGGTCTGACATCTGTCTGATAATAGCTGTAGGCCAAAAACTGAGTGCTGGATTCAACAATATTTTCTGACTGTCGTTTATTGTAGATCTCTCAGCAAAGAGTGCATCAGTCCCAGATGAACTTGGTGCATGTGGACATTCCAGAACATCAAGCTATGCAAGCCAGCAATCAAAATTGTCAGGTAGAAGTTGATGTTGAATTCCTTTGAGTTAGTTTTATTAGCTTTGGTATTTCAGAAGCTTCACAAAGCATTTTGATATAAATAGGCTGCTTGTGGGTAAAAAAACATTCTACCTAGTTAGGGCTTTTGAATTGTGAACCCTTTTAAAACCAAACTACCAACAGTTGTGGAACTACCTGATTTTGTGTTGGTTTGTTTTTTTTAATTAAGAAAAATCCCACCTACTGGTTTTTGCGGGACTTACTTTTTTGGAAAAGGGAGAGGTGTTTTTTTGTTTTTTTTTTAACTTTGCCACTCGGTAATGTTTACATGGACATAGTGTATATGAAAGCTTTTATTAACAAATAACTGATGTTAGAACCTGTTTCTAATTTGTGACTAAAAGGTTCAGGTGTTCTAAAAAGTAAAAGGGAAATGATGATGAAAACACCAGGGTTGTTATGTCGATTAGGAAATGAGAATTAAATGGGTGGAGTTACTGGTGATTGGAGACAGGGTCATGGCTAATGCATGCAATCAGTTGAAAAGGGGACTAGGTAGTTATAAAATCAACCCCTTGAGTTTTCTAGACTCTAGCACTATCCGGAAGGTTGGCAGAGCATCTAATAACATGGTTCTGCAGAAAGCTGGCTAGCTCACCTTATTTCTCATTCTTCAAAGTGTTGAATACACTAGATGATAAATTCTCCTTCTAACTGTAGTAGACATTAAATTGCTGATCATACCACAAATGAAAGACTAGTGATTACCAGCCATCATTGTATGACTTTATCTGATTCCACCTGCCTTGAAAGAAGTGATAGGGAAGGAGCAACTGAATAAAATCAAGTAATGGAAGCTAGTAATTCTTCTAAAGTAAAATGAAAACATTTTCAAGAGTTGGTAAATGAGCAAGATAGAAAGGATTCATGCTCATCCCAAAAGGTTAAAAACTAGATTACTCTGAGTCAAGATCAAATGTGTAAGTTCAATGAAATTGTCTGATGTGGTGGAGCAGAACAATGAGGAGACAAACCTGCAATAGAAATTTTTTTGCAATGTCCCTTATGTTCCTTTTCCAGCAGCTCGTCAACATCAGATGCTGCGCCTGAAATTATTTGTCTTCACAATTCACAAACTGGCAAAAATCAATCCGTGATAATGCCATAAAATACTGAAAGGGAAAGACTTGAACTTTATCAAGTTTTATCCTTCTTTTACATGAACAAAATTACCAAAGCATGTTTGCTCTGGATATATGTCTCTAGATGCAGGAAGTGAAGAAATAGAAGAAAAAATTTTAAAGGAAGACCTGAAAAAATCCAACACTGACCATAAAGGCAAAATTAGTCAGTCAGATATGAAAAAGATCTGATAATCGCTACAGTCATCCACACGGAAAAATGCATTCCTACTTAATACACTTCTTTCTTAATCTGAAAAGAAAACTCCAGAATGTGTTCAAGCTGATGAAGATACCATCCAAGAAGGCAGAGAGAAGAATGATGAAGACTCCGAAGGAAAATATACTAAGTGAATTGGATAGAGTGTGAGAGTGTATGTAGCTTCTTAAAACATGTGTAGGCTCTCGTCAGGAGTAAAAACAAACCAAATAGTGGGGAAAAGCACAGCCCTGGTCGTTAATAATGTAACTAATGTGGCTCTCTTCTCTATTTTCCAATAGGGTATAGCACATGTCACTCCAGATCATCCAGTTTTTCTGATCTCTGCCATAGGAGAAACACCTCAGTGGGAAGTACATCTACAGGAATTGGAAGTATTCTAGAGCCATGTGAAGAGACTGAACCAAAAGTAACTGATGATAATTTTGATACTCCTGTTAAAGATATATCTTCAGAAAAACTCAGCAGGTACACTTAACATAACTTGAAAGGCTTCTTATAGTGACAGTACTCTGAATTAAATGTATTGACAATTAGTTTTTAGAATCTCTAAATGTATTTATCCTGACAGGCATCCAGTGAAGCAAGACTCTGTAGAGTCACAACTGAAGCGGGTTGATGCCACCAGAGTAGATGCAGATGATATCGTTGAAAAAATATTGCAGAGTCAAGACTTCAGTTTAGACTCCAGTGCAGAAGGTATATATGGGGAAAACAAGTAAAAACTTGAAAAGATGACGTACAGTACAGTAGAGACCCAAATGCACTAATTTAATGAACATCCCCCCCCCAGCTCCTACTCCCAGTGCGGGTAGGGTGTGTTTATAGACCATTCCAGGAAAACTCCTGGCTGCTGCTGTCTCCTGAGAGGCGGCAAAGGTTGCTGGGCTTTGTGCCCCTGGGGCTCATCACTTTAACTAAGTCTGTGCAGAAAAGGGCAGGGGCAATCCTACAAGAAAATTGCCTTCCCTGAAGCACAGCTTATTATGATTGGGTCCCAGTTGTTTTCAGATGCAAACGTTTTTAAATATAGTTTACAAAGTTCATGGATTTTAAAATGTTTTTTAAAAAGATTCTTTAGAGAATATTTGTTTGGCAACATTGATGGTGTCATATTTAAACATGTTAACTTCTTTCCTTTGTAGAAGAAGGGCTGAGATTATTTGTGGGCCCTGGGGGGAGTACTTCTTTTGGAAGTCATCATCTACCCAATAGGTATGTAGTTTGAACCATTAATACTTGTTAAGTATCAGTTAGCAAAAGCATATTGTACTAGGTTTTTATGAATATTTTGTTTCTGATATATGCCAGTTCCATTTTCTCAATGAATCAGATGATATGGATAATACAAGGCAACATTTTCAAACCTGGATGCTTAAAGTTAAGTTCCTAAATCCATATTTAGGCACCCAGAGGTGCTGAACATTTGGGAGCTGGGGTTGCTCAGCATCTTGGAAGTGACCTGAATTTCAGTCTGGGTATCTGAATATGTATTCAAAAGCCTAACTGTAAGCATCCAGGTTTGAAAATGTTGGCCTTATAGACTTCCTCTGGGTCTAATTATTCCGTAGGCTAATTGCTCTCAGGAGGCCTTTTTCCTGTCAGTCTTGACTATTTTTTTAGTATCTAAACTCTCTGATATTTTCCTGATACTCAATTTGTTTTTCCCTTCAATTTAATCCCACAGCTGCTACTCTTATTTCGATATACTTAATCTTTTTTCTCTGTGTTTTCATCCTTCAAATATTTGTAAATTCTGAGACGTACCCTTCCTGCTTCTTTCATTTTTGATCTCTCAAGCAGACTATACAGATATAGGTTTCAGAGTGGTAGCCATGCTAGTCTGTATCAGCAAAAACAACGAGGAGTCCTTGTGGCACTTTAGAGACTAACAAATTTATTTGGGCATTAAGCTTTCGTGGGCTAAAACCCACTTCATCAGATGCATGGAGTGGAACATACAGTAGGGAGATTTAAATACACAGCACATGAAAGGACAGGAGTTGCCTTTCCAAGTGGAGGGTCAATGCTAACGAGCCAATTTAATTTAAGTTGGAAGTAGGCAATTCTCAATAGTTGACAAGAAAGGGTGGAAATCACTTTTGTAGTGTTAATGAACCAATGTAAACAAGGTGGCCCGTTTCAAACAGTTGACAAGAAGGTGTGAGTATTTAGCAAGGGGAAATTAGTTTTTGTAAAAACAACTAGGAGTACTTGTGGCACCTTAAACTAAATCAATTTGTTAGTCTCTCTGTAGTGACCCATCCACTCCCAGTCTCTATTCAGGCCTAATTTGATGGTGTCCAGTTTGCAAATTAATTCCAGTTCTGCAGTTTCTCATTGGAGTCTGTACTTTGAAGTCTGTTGTTGAGTGACCAGGGAGATTGAAGTGTTCTCCTACTGGTTTTTGAACATTATAATTCCTGATGTCAGATTTGTGTCCACTTATTCTTTTGTGTAGAGACTGTCCGGTTTGGCCAATGTACATGGCAGAGGGGCATTGCTGGCACATGATGGCATATATCACATTGGTAGATGTGCAGGTGAACGAGACCCTGATGGTATGGCTGATGTGGTTAGGTCATATGATGGTGTCCCTTGAATAGATATGTGGACATAGTTGGCACTGGGGTTTGTTGCAGGGTTTGGTTCCTGGGTTAGTGTTTTTGTTGTGCACACACCACACAAGTGACAGTGTGCTCTGTAAAGGGGGAAGGCAGCAAGAGACTTAATTCTGTGTCTAAGGGCTACCTGGTCCTGCAGTTCAGAACTGTGAATTGCAGTGCATGCTAGCATGCTGCCTTCTAATTGCCCTGTTTGGACACTGGTGGCATGAACTAAAAGGTAATTTGCATTAACATAATCCTGTTTGAAAGAGGGCTGTGTTCATGTGAACTAGCAACCTTTTAGTTCATACCAGCAGTATCCACGCAGGATAACTAGAGCTCAACAATTCGGTGCATGCTGCAATTCACACTCCATAGTCTGCACTGTGGGTCTGTGTAGACATAGTCAAAGACTAATTCATGACTCCATCCAATTATTGACTACAGGTGCCTCCTTGTAACCAGATTGAGGGAACTGATGCTTTTATTTCTTCTCTGGTAAATAATACAACTTTACTGGCTTTGTGAGACTTAAGTGTTTTTTAAACAATAGGCCATACATAACCACTGTGTACTAGGGAAATATCATCTGTTGTACTTGCCTGAAAATATAAATATATTATAATATATAAATGAAAACAATTATTGATCAATGCCATGATAAGGCATTTTCTAACCTGCATGTTCTGCTGTTGTACTATAACAGTTTTATACATTTAAATAGACATCTGAAAACACTTTTCATTTTTTTCTCTGAATTTTTAAGCAAACAAAAATTCCATTGTTCTATATTCAGTATTAGTTAGTATCTTCCATTTAAGTTAGAACTGAAAACTTATTTTGCATTATTTTTTCAGGGTAGGATCCGGAGCATATGAGCAAGTGGTGATTAAACGCTAGAACAGCAGGACTTGAACAGAAGAATAGTAGTAGAGTTCCTCCATGGATAATTAAGAGGTGTTCATTTAATCCCAACAGTTATCAAAGTTGATGTGATGAGAGAGACTCTTTCAAGAGGCCAACTCACATTTGGTCTGAATTGTCTGAGTACCTCCTGCTCATAAAAGATCCTTCATGTCTACAGTGGTATAAAGGCAATTTTTAGTATCTATGCCTTGTACAAGTGTATAACCATTGTTGTGACTGTTACCTAATGTTAGTGGATTACTTGCTTTTGTAATTTACGTGTAAAACATCTTGTGGAAACCTGATAAATGGTGTCTACTTGAATATAGTTTTATATAGAAGTTCATTAGTGATGACGATGTGTTCTGTTTGCAACTTGGCTTTCAGAAGAAGCCCCTTAGAAAAAAATTAGTCTTAGATTAATCTAGTTCAAAACTTAAATTCTACCATTAGAAATAATTCTTCATAAGTAACTTTTAAAATATTACTTGCCATTTCAGTGCTATAATGGCTAATTCCTTCTATCAGGCCATAATTAATATAAAATGGGGTTAATGTTTCCAAGAAAACAACTTAGTTGTGCTTTAAGATGTCCTATTATTTGTTTCAGTAATATTAAACTTGTAAATGCATTGAGCATAATTAACTGTAAGGTTGAGTAGCAGATGGTAGAGACAAATATATAAAAGCAAAATACAAGTGACTAGGTCTAATAACATCAGACAATATGTGTTGCTACTTGTAAATAAAATCTGGTGGCTTAAGTGCATCAGTATGACTTCTGGCCCTATGTAAATGACAAAATATATTTAAAATTTCACATCAGAATTACCAAATCACAGTAAAGCACTCAACAAGCTGGTCTTGTATGCCTGAGGATATTATGAATTTATGGTTTGGGGTATAAAACTTTAATCTCCGTAAGTGAGATTCAGCTGTCTAAACAAAAAGTAAAGCTTCTTCCAAATGTGATTTCAATAACACATGAACCTTAAAGTTCAATGGAAGATAGTGTCAGGTGAAAAGTAGTCAGCAGCTTAACACCACTGTGAACACGTTTTTCTAGCTTAGACTACCCAACTGCGAAGGGTTATCTCTTACAGCTGAAGGTGCCTTGTTCCTGCGGATGGGAGATGGGGAGGGAAGGATAGATTACCAAATGAAGCTTTTAAGAATAAATGGACATCTAGACTAACTATTGCCAATATAATTTACTAACAGAAGCACTTTATATAGTATACATGCACTCTGCAGTCTGAAAAATCAATCTCTGGGCAAAGGCCTCACATTTTTTGTGTAGAATCACTAACAGCTTCACTATCTGTCCATTGTTACACTTTGAGGCATGAAACATTTTGACCAAAATGTACTGTACTTTAACTTGCACAAATGGAATGGCTTGGTCTAAAATGTATTAGTTTTAGCAAAAGGTGAGAATTAAAGATCTTTTAACAAAAGCATTGTTTTGCTGACAGCTGTAAAAGTATTTGCTTATTTTTTTAAAAAAGATTTCTGGTGGAATGACAATCTAACAGTTGAGGTTTAGATGTACTAAACCTGCTGTTTAGATGTATTTTAGTACTAAATTGCAGTAGAAAACCTAGTTTTGCTGAAAATTAGCCATACAGTTTACCAATATGATCAGATAGGTTTGAATGAATCAAAACAATATTGTGGCCATTTTATTCTTTAACACTCTGAAGGTTTCAAATTCTTCTCTGAATCAATTGGTATTTAGGTTCCTTCTCTGGAAGTAAAATTTGAAGTCTTAATTCTTAGGCTGTATTAAGAAAATTTTGTTTTACATGGTTTTTAATAGGTTTTACTTTTTCGTAAGTGTATAGTATAAACTGTTCATTATTGAACTCAATGTTTTATTTATATTAGCTTAAAGGAAACCTTAGAGTTCAAACTTTGTTGAATACTGTTAGATAAGAGCTATTTCTTCTTAATTATGGTATTTAAAAGAAGTATTTTTCTATTTCCCATTGCTTGTGTAATTTTTTTAATTTGGACTGTTCTAATGGGTAAAACGTATTAAATACAATTTGTTTGTAATAACTGCAGTTAGAGTGAGATTGTGGGGGAGATGACAAAATGCTTACAAGAAATGTAAAAATGATCCTTTCATAAAAAAGTTGCCATTAGTGTGTGTTTACATCGTACAGCTAAAACATGCCAGTTTCTGTTTTCCAAATTTTTGAATAGAAAGTATTGATAAGGTTACTGGGTTTAAGTTAAAGCTGAGAAACCATAGCAACAAAGTATGAAGGGTGTTTTTATGAAATAGACAAAACTTTCTGCAGTACTAAATTGTTTATGGAGAGTGATGGAGCCTAAGAGCACCAATGCTAGCTTTATAGCTCATTCTAAGGGGCACACGACTTCAAAAGGGGCCTGTTTTTTCCCTGAAACTTAAGGATGTTGGTTTTGTACACACTGATTTAAACTGACTTTTACTCCTATAAAACTATCCATAATTTGCTTGTTGCCACAACCCAGTAACTCTAATTTTTAAATGCTTCTAGTTTGTTTGCAATCTCTTTATATGCAAGGTGCCTAATATCACATCTTGCTATTTCATCCTCTTTAGCATACTATGCTTTTTTTAAAAAGTTAAATCGATGAATCCAGTCCTTCAGCTAATGTTATTTGATAGACATTTACCAGACTTTATTAAAAATGTACAACTGTAAAAGACCATTTTTTAAGCACAAAAAGCAGAACTTGAAGTGTCCTTAAAGAATTTGAGGAATAGGAGCTGGCTGCTACTGATTCTTTTCTTCAAATAATGTAATCCATATTTTAATAATATAAAATGCATATTTACAATTCACAGTTTATAAGGGCAGAAGCTAACCCCATAATGTTGCTATTTAGAGGAAAATAAGTTTGTGATTCCAAAGAGCAGGTTGGTTTCAGATAATTTATTTAAAATACTCAGGATAGACATTTCTAGTTAATCTAGTAACCAAAAATGCCCCTCTTGTCCCTCTGGCTTTCCTAATGTTATTTCAGTAGAACTGCTTCATTCAGCAACAAGTGCCATTGTCCGTTAGTTCAGAGGAATCTTGAACATTTGGAATTTTCCATAAAACCTAGAAAATTGTTGAAAAATGTAGTTTTGATTGCATTGATATCAATGGGTCCAGCATTTGGTTGAGGTACAGCATGAGTTACTACAGATTGATGTGTTGATTCAGTGCCTGGGAGCTGAAATAACATTCAGCATCATTAATCATGTAGTGTACAAAAAGCACGGGTTTTAGTTATAACAATACAAGTATTTAAGCCCTTTGTATCCTCTGGTTTCCATACCTAATTTTGACAACTATTCATGCAAAGTCCATTATGTCCCCCAGCAGGATTTTTTGCACATTGAGTAATAAGCTATTTGTACTCTGTTTCAGTGTGAAGAAATTAAGCCGTAATTACCTCTCCCTTCGCGTTGCAAATTTTTGCATTTTTATGTCACTTATTACTATTGCAGCAAGCTGTGTAACTGAAAGCCAAACTGCATATATAACTTGCAAATGTGGTTTTATTTACTCCCAAATTGGATTTTGGTGCATGTCTTGACAAAACTTGTCAAAAACAAGAAAGTCATTAGATGGTGACAGGCTGAAATTATTATTATTATTTTTTTACTTGTGGAAAAATGGGTAATTAAAGGCTGCCTTGTTTAAAATTCAATTGTACGAACACTTGTGTAGTATCTTACCTGGTAAATTCAACTTTTAATTCTGTTTTCAAGTACACAGATAACTAAAGCCTATGCAGTAGGCAGTTTGTGTAGCTTGGTTGAAGTCATTTGTCCTCCGGCCACATAAGATCTTGTAGGGGGGAAACATTTGTATGTAAGTCAAAATTTGAATAAATCTCCATTGTATTTTGTTGGTTTATTGTTCACACTTAACAAAACTCTCCATGAAGTGATTCCTTAAGTATGTCTCTTGTACTTGGAGAATGACCTTCATATTTAGGTACAGTACTTACTTGTGTAAACTGTATTATAGTGAAATCTAGGGAGACTGACATAGTAAAATCTGTTTTTCTAATAAAATGTAAAATTTGTAATGTAAAAATGGCCTCATGTAGACAATTAAAAATCATGTCTTCAGCTTGGAATGTGTTTTTTAAAAACAAGTGCTTGTTGAGATTAAAAGAATCTAGTCTAAAAGTAAGGAAAAATGTAGATCTTCTTTCTTGGGAAGGACTACTAGAAAACCTTCTTAATGGTTTTGGGATGGATTCCTGGTGTTCCCTCTTCTGACCAGGAGTAGGTAGATAATTTTGCTTTCTCTCCTGACTCTTTGGGGAAATACACATGTATTACTTGCCCAGAAGAATTCTGTTTGAGGGAGGGGGTTGTTCAAGTATAATCTAATAGGCAAATGAGCATTGCATAATGAGCTGGCTAAATCTCCATCTTATTGGGGCACAGCAAGTTCATTTTAGTGCCAAGCAGGTCACATTAAAGATACACTGTCCCAGGCTGCATTTCTTATATGCACCCCTTTGCCATCTTTAAAAATATATTTAAACTGACTCTTATGATCCCAAATCCCATTGCTCACTACAAAAGAGAGCAGCACCATCTCCACAAATTACTTGGAAAAGTTAGAGCTGTAGAGATGAACGATGACTAAAACTAAGCCCGACTGTTTATGCATACGGTAAGCAGAAATTTATAGTAGGAAAAAACCAAAATTCCCTTTCAAGTAAAGGTACATCAGTAGTTCTTTACCCAGCACTTGACATTCTTCAAGCTCACAACTCAACTTGCTATATTTTTTTTTTAAAACCCTGATACTTTTAAAATCCTTCACATTCCGGACAGAACTCTGTTTAAATTAAATGGTATGAATGGTAAGCAGTTATACTGAAAAGGGGGGGGGAAAAGTGAGAAAGTTTTGTCAAGAAGGGAAAATGAGATGGTAAATTAAAAATCAATCTTTGCTGGATAGATGATAGCTTACTAAAAAAGAGGCAGTTTTAAGCCTAGTGTTTCTTTACCTCTTTCTTATTACTCATTATGACAGCACAGTAACACTATTCTTGAATGTAAAACTCTGGCCCGGTGATAGGACTATAGATAATTAGCACAAATGGCTCGTGAAAATATGCCTGGCTATTTTAGCAATAGGGTCCATTCCATGCTACCCTTGCACAGTGAGGAATTAAGTTACTGCACCATAGTTGGCTATAGAAAATCAAAAACAAATACATCAGTATACTTTTGGATATTAGTAGCAATAAGGAAACTCAAACTCAGATCCTGTTAAGTTTTCTCTCAAGACACATTTGTTTAAATAAAAAAAAAAAAAAACCTTTTAGATTATGGACAGGATTGGTAGTTTGTGTAGTGGGCTTTTAAAAAAAAAAAAACCACTACTGCCTCTGCTTCTGTCCCTTTGTCTTATTTACTCACTCTCTTCCTTGGTGGTGGGGGGGGGTGTGTGATATATATATATATATATATAGTAGGATGTAAAATGATCATTACTATGGTAAGTTTAATTCTGGAGTTAGGGGAGAAAGAGACTACCTTTAAGGAACAAGAAATATGAATGTGTAAACACATTTGTTTGGGGGGGCAAGGAAAAGATGGCTATGGCGGCAGGGAGGGGGAATTTTCCTTCTAATGAAAAAAGGGGGGTAGGAGGGACATGAAATACCAGGTCTTACACCTTAGTACTGAACGCTTACATTTTACTATAACTGCATTCTCAGGTCAGACATGCCACAAATGGATAACATTTATCATCAGGAAGAGTGGGAAGTGATTTATTACTTAACTGGATTTGTGTATTAAACCACACATCCTCATGGCAGAGCCTAGAAAATCTAGTGATTTATATAAATACCTGCACACTAATCCTACCTCCTCCTGGAATTTTTCAGTTAGAGCTAGCAAATACATAGAGGTTTGCACTGCATAGGGCAGCAGATTCTCATGTAGCACCTTTCCATATCAGAGGCAGTAATGAG